CAGTGGCGTGCACACCATACATGCAAATAAGCACTGCATACCCTACAAAATCATGGTAAACCTACATAGTCAAATACATAGTGTCACTCATAAACACGACATGAATATTTACTGACATCATACAGAGATTTCGTAATTTTATTGATACTTAATTTGAAAAACTGGTCACTAACGCCATCTATCGAAAAAATATTGAAGTACTACAACCACTTTCTACTTTCTTCGATATATTGAAGCATTGCGCCAGTGGCGCCGCCACCTCGCTATTGTGTGATGGTGGCGGAAGCATGTACTAATGCGTAGCCGGTACAATTTGCTTGTTTTCTCGTGCTGATGTTGGATTTTTTTTTTGTTAGGTTGGTAATTTCTATACAACTGCAAAAGCACTGCTTCTTCGTTATCCGACTAATTTAAGAAGTCAACAAAACGTAGCGTTTGTTGATTGAAAATAGATATATTAATTTTGGTCAACTTATTGTTTACGTTTTTTTTGGCCATTTTGTTTTGGTTATGTTTTTATGTGCAAGTGAATAAATTGTAATGTAATGAATTATAATTTAAATGAACTGTTAATTTACCGAAAATTATGTAAAATTATAGCTGTGAGCTCTGTGCTGGTGATTTGTGTTGTTCAATAAATTAAATATGAGTGCGTTGTCCTTATTGTCGTTCGAAGAAGAAACGAAAATATTTCCAAAGGCGATTTTGCGTGTGTCGTATGTCCGGGCTAGGCGTAACTCAAAAAAGGTAATAATTTTATTATTTCTTTTAATAAACTACGATTTGCGATTATAGGTATAGTTTGTTTTGTTAGCACTGGTTGTGTACCAATTTCATTAATGTTTTTAAAATCCAGTCATCTTGATCTCGCTTTGTACGATTTTTCTATGCATTTAACGGTCAGTTTATACTGGTGTCGCATAGCTTGATGTGTAACCATTTGTACTTCGCCGCTCCAAAGTAGGTACCTAGTTAATAGATTTGTAAAATAGATACCTTGGTATCTATGTTGATCAACTTTATACACGGATAGTTTGAAAATAATTATGTACCTAATTTGTTTATACAAATTAATAAAATAGTTACTAAACCTAATTACCTACTCAAAATTATGATGTTTCGGGAGTTTTATTTTCCGAGATTAATGTAGACCAAATTTTTTTTAATCATGTGATACCTTCTGCCTACCCTACTTCAAATCTCTGTGCACGCCCCTGTATGAATGCGACATTGTGGCGTATCGCTCGTTCCGAATGAAATAAGGCCAACACACCGATATGTCGAGTATCGTAAACAATTTTATTTGTGGTCTAGAAATATCATCGGAATGAATTGACGACGAGTGCGAGATGGCACCGCATTCGATGATTCCATGCTGTGTGGAGTGTGGGCGATGGATTCTCGCGTGACGTCACCGCGCGGCTATAACTGTCCTCCTGACAGTGATCGCGAGCGATTTCAAAAATGCCGGTCATCGACTCACTCCCCCGCGGCACGCGGCACGCGCCACCGAGCGCTGCGCACGCGCCGCCCGCCTACTGCTGCGCTCCCGGAAGTTAGCGTTGCCAACACCACTCACTATCATAAATTTTAATCTACGAATTCTAAATTCTTATGAAGTTTTAAAGGAATCACTTTGGCAAACTTGTTTATAACAAGATATTTACTGGCGGTGCGGTGTGTGTCCTGCCGAGGTTGGAGGATGTAAGTGAAATGAAATGAAAAATAATTTATTTGGTACAACACCAGGCACAAACACAATACAATAAATACAATGCATACAAAAAATTAGGAGTGAAATAAAAAAAAAATAAAAAAAATACAAAAATAGATGTAGGTAGGTATATACAAAATTTAAAAGTTAAATATACCAACTGTTGGGGGATTATAAGGATTTTTGAATTAAATTATCTTCCAACAATTTGAGAGCTATATTTCGATAGCACAGACATGGTAGAATAAAAAAATGAAAACATGGCGGTATTCGCAGAAAAGAGAAACACTAAAATTACTTATAGCTATCAGTTAACCCAGTGAAATATATTGCTATGCATTTATGCGTAGGCTCACGTAAACACCAACAATAATAATCATGTGCCCGACAGCTGCACCAAAAAAGGTCCAGTTCAGCATAAATGCCAGACATCTAGTGCCTGACGCTGGTTTTCAACTGAACCTATGGCTGTGACGCAACGGACGTAAAGCAGTAAATGCAGAGTAGCGTGTGAAGTATATTATAAAATTATTAAGTTAATATAGTTTTATCATAATACATACATACATATAATAATAGGGTATAGTAATTAGCCAAATAAGATTTATTAAATGTGATAAAAATTATACTCCGTGTGTATGAACAGAATGTACCCGCATTATATAATTGAGGTATTTTGCACCACCATATCAAGCCTTCGCTGTGTATCGATGAGGTATTGTCGCAAGCGTCTTCTAAATGCACCCATTGTATTTGTCCCTCTAATAGGTGGTGGGAGGTTATTCCACACTTTGGAAGCCGCATAGCGAAAGCTGCCCCTAAAAGCGGCTGTACCGTAAGTGAGGTTACTCTGTACTGAGACCCGGCACGGAGGAGGTGTGTCCTCCGTGGGTGGTTTTATCGAATATGTCCTCCGAATCCGCGGTAAAGCGAGAGAGATCATTTGATGACGTTCCATCATGAGAGATCAAACGTGCATGGGTTTAAATGGGTATGTATGAACCATTGTTTCCTACAATATTTCCATAGTGAGAGTCATATTATTTATTTCAATGCGACACTTCTGTGAATCATTATCATCATCATCATATCCGCCATAGGACGTCCACTACTGAACGTAGGCCTCCCCCAATGACTTCCTGATAGGCCGGCTGGAAGCGACCTGCATCCAGCGGCTCCCTGCGACCTTAATCACTGCCACTTAAACTTGCTAATCCGTTGGGCTATGTCAGTGACCTTTGTTCGTTTGCGGATTTCCTCGTTTTTTATCCGATTTCGCAAAGAAACTTCGAGCATAGCCCTTTTCATAGCGCGCTGAGCGACCTTGTGGTTCTTTAAAAGGCCCACAGTGAGTCGTGAAACGTGGTCTACGTTTCACTTCCATAGATTATCACTGGTAACACACATTGATTATAGACTTTCGTCTTGATGCATTGAGTTATGTTGGATTTCTCATCCAATGTTGCGTAGATTCCCGAACGCTGCCCATCCAAAATGAATTCGGTGATTGACCTCCTCGAAATTGAACCTAGCTAGCTGGATCACTTGTCCCAGGTATACATACTCGTCAACAATTTCGAGGGTAGAGCTCCCAACTGATATCGGGTAGGGCGTAACATGGGCGTTCTGTCCATGTTCATTCGGAGCCCTACCTGTTGAGAAACTCTACAGAGGTCACCGAGCATTGTGCTCAAATCCTCCAGCGATTCTGCCATGACCACAATGTCGTCGGCAAACCGGAGGTGAGTGATGTACTCGCTGTTGATGTTGATGCCAGATCCTTTCCATTCCAAAACTTTGACGGTGTCTTCCAATGCAGCGATAAACAGTTTTGGAGATATGACGTCTCCGGTCCTGTACTTGGACCGACATAATGGAGTTTGTGTTCCAGCACTTCAAAACCTCGATGGACTGATAGTCAATATGGCAACGCTGGAGAGATCTTAACAGTACCATAGTCCACAAATGCTAAGCACAGTGGCAAGTTATACTCCTCGGTCTTCTGTATAACTGTCGCAGCGAATGAATGTGGTCTATAGTACCATAGCCTTTCCGAAAACCGGCTTGTTCGGGAGGCTGAAAGTCATCGAACCTACGTGTGAAACGATTCGTGATGACCCTCGAAAACAGCTTGTAGACATGGCTCAGAAGTGAGATGGGTCTGTAATTTTTCAGTAGAATGTTATCTCCCTTCTTGAAGAACAGCACCACCACACTTCTGCTCCATGCCGCTAGCGTTACTTCCTCAAATATGACAGAGTTGAAGAGCCTCTGAAGGACTCTCTGTACCGGCGTTCCGCCCGCTTTCACTAGCTCTGGTGTGATTCCGTCCTCGCCCGGCGGCCCTGGTTCTTAACCTTGAGTGCCATTCTATTCTAGTATAGGCTGATGTCCGGGATATCCTCGGAATAGTGCCTGGTAAACTTAGCTCTTGGATCTGCGACTGAGCAGGTTTAGTGACCGATGCGTATAGCGATGCGACTTGTGTGAATGTCAAACCTAAACATAAAAGTTTTCAATCATTCAAGATGTATGCACAATTGTGTCTTAAACATAATATTATATTATAAATAGCTGACCCGGCAAACTTCGTACCGCCTAAAATTATTATTTTTCTCACCTTTTAAACATTCCCTGGACTTCCACGAACATTCCAAGACCAAAATTAACAAAATCGGTTCAGCCGTTCTCGAGTTTTAGTGAGACTAACGAACGGAAATTCATTTTTATTTATATAGATAGATACTAGGTTCTGTCAGCGGGAACGTCTGTGTTGCCAGCGGTAAAAAGTAGCCTACGTATTACTGCAGACCATAATCTACCTATGTTCCAAATTTCATACCGCTCCCTTCAGCCGTGCTTCAACTTCAGCTTCAGCTTCAGCGTGACTGATTAACAAACATTAGCAACATATTTGCGCATTTATACTATCGGTTCAACCTAATTTCAACCACCGAACCTTACCGTTACAAGTCCACTGCGGGCAACCCACAGATATATTAATAATATTTCTGTGGGGCAACCTAACATTTGACAAACTTATATTTTCGTTTGCTGCAGTAACTGTGTCTAGGGATCGAGCAGCACAATTAAGTTTGTTTTACATGTTTGGCGTTCAGATATTTCTTCATCAGACTACAGGACGGGTACTGTGTTCTTTCTTTACGATTCTGAGTATTAATTTAATTATTTGGAATAATTTAATTATTTGAAATAATTTAATTTATATATTTGATTTAAGTATACCTATAAATGATGAAATTAAATAATTATTTGAAATGAAATAATTATTTGAAATCATTTAATTATTTGGAATAATTTAATTATTTTGAATAATTATGTTATTCCTATGAATGAAACAATAGTTCGATACTACTATAACGCCAAGCGCCATATGCGACTAGTTGCTCTCTCTACTGGTCGATAGATGGCATTAGGCGTCAATCATATACTAAACAGGAACTGTAAGTCCACTCTGTTCAAGTGCCATACAATTATGATGAAGTAACTTAAGTAATCCATTAGTAAAGATTTTGTTCCGAAAATAATTTCTGTGGGGGTTGTAAGGCCTGGGATAAGTAAGAAGTAAATGACGGAGTACGGTGCTTTTATGGGGAATGATACAATAGCGCAATCGCTAACGCAAATTTGGCAAGTGTCTAGGACACCAGCGTAGAGCGGGGTGGTACGAAATGCGCGTAGGTACCCAACTGCCCATACAGTGGAGGCACCATTGGGGTGCTTACCTAGGGCGTTATCTAGGTTAATCCGGCTCTATAAGCCATACTAGAACTAAAGCTGCTCATGAAGTTAAAATCAAGTTCCTCGTGCAGGTATCGTGGGTGCGGTCGCGGGACCTGCAGATCCTGTCGCACGCGGGCACGGTGTTCACGGCGGACGCGCGCGTGTCGGCGGCCGCGGCCGGCGCGCGCCACTCGCTGCGCATCGAGCGCCTGCGCACTACCGACGCGGGCCGCTACGAGTGCCAGGTCAACACCGAGCCCAAGATGAGTCTCTTCTTCAATCTTACTGTAGTAGGTGAGTAGTACTATATCTCTATCTATATCTTATATTGATCTTAACACGATATTTGACAACTACCCAAATTCAATACTTTTTTCGAACTGTCAGAAACGACAGTTTTGTGTGAATTTTGTACAAGATTGTGAATTCTGAAATCACGTTTTTTACCGTCCAACAGTGTACTTATGTTTTAAAAAAATGCTGGAAAAATACTAAAATTAAGGTGGTCATATAATCAATTAATGGAAGTGATTATTTCTTAATATATTATTGTACTAAGCAGTCGAAACATTTTTTTGTATGAAGGAAAGTAACCAATTATATCGGTCGGCACAATAACATCAGGTTTGTTTTTCAAGCTAATCGAACTAGTTGTTGTTGTAACTGCCTCATGTTAAGAAGTGAACATATGATCAAGGGTAATATTTCGGCAGCATGTTGGCGAGTTAGAGTGTGGCTGTGGTTAGAGTGGGTGCGTGGTTACAGACGAGCCGGTGCCGGAGGTGGTGGTGTCGGTGCTGGGCGCGGCCGGGGTGACTGCCCGCGCGGGCGGCGCCGCCACGCTCGCCTGCCAGGCGCGGTACGAGCCGCCGCCGCGACAGCTGCCACTGCCAGACCTTGACATTCGTTGGCAAAAGGGAAATTTGCCGATCAGCCTACAGGTACGTATACATATATAGAACGTATGCATTGCGCCATGTGAGGCGAGTGGTAGTACAGAGTGGTGGCTGCACAGAGCGGGCGCGGCGTGGCGCTGGACACGCAGCGCTGGGCGGCGCGCGTGGAGTCGCGCCTGACGCTGGCGGCGCTGCGCGCGGACGACGCGGGCCACTACTCGTGCAGCGCCGCGGGCCGCGCTGCCACGCTCACGCTGGACATCGATCGCCTCGCTGACGGTTGGACTTGTTTGATTACGTTACGGATAGAGTATTAACACTTCTCTCTACATTAAGTAATAACAGAAGTGCACACTTGTTTCTACGATACATAATTACCTACAAAATTTTCAATTTAAAATACGTTAAGTACGGTTGACGGTCGTCGCAAGCAATGGTAACCCTGGGATACGCCTTGTCGCATGAAATCGCATCACAGCAGTTCGCATCGTAATTTTTGCGATACGATTTCGCATCGCATCGCAACGCAGTTTTGTGTACGAGCCCTCAAACAAAAATTATTTTGATTTGAAATCGTCAGTACTGCAGCAAAGGCAAGTTCATAGGTATAGACCTAATATGCTTGTTTAAAGGTTATTCTTATTAGATTTAGTGCCTACTTAATTATACTTATTTACAGACGATCGTGTTGAGGCAATGCAGCGTGACCAGGAGGCTGCGCGGGGCCGGGGCGCGCCGGCCGCGGGCGTCCTGGCCGGGGGCGCACTAAGCGCGGGCGCGCGATCCGGGGTACTGCTTGCGATAGTACTGCTACTGCGCTAAGGGAGGAAGTCTTTTGCATTCTGTATATATTGAATCTTGTAAATAATGTAAATATATTTATAATATACTCAGTGAAAAAGTGAAACAATCGTTTACATTTACTTACCACCTACTTCGACCTCATGCTAAGCCGCATTTGTCACGAAATATTTGTAATACGCGCAAAGTCAAAATCAAAGCATTTATTTCAATTGTATAACCATAATTTGGTACTTTTGAAACGTCAACAAATACAAAATAAATAATAGTCTGTCAGTCAGTCTGTCAGTGAAGCTAGGTGAAGCTAGGTGCTCATTCCAAAATGTAGATTCGAATGGAAAAAAACGAGCAAGAAACTCCATTCGTTACTTTTTAAAAAAAAAAGTATCTTCTACAATGTCTCTGATACATATTCCAATACTGTACGCATATGTGAGAACAATGCAAAGACGCGCTTGACGCACTAATTACAAATCTTACTAAAATAATAAAAATAAAAAAAATCTTATAGTCTAACACAGTTCACATATATGCATACTGACAATCCATAAAAATAGTGCTTCTATACAAGAAAAACGAAACTCTTTGTTTCAATAAAGAAAGAAATGCTCGATGCCATAAGGAAACTAGATTGTCTACTTTAGAATGAAAGTATTAAATTACTAAATTACCTGCTATTGGAATCTAACTACTGACTACATTTGAGTATTGTCCAGTGGAGCCGAACCAACAACATGCTGCCAAGCATTCTTATCTTCAAGATAATCTGTCAGTGTGTAGTAAGCTTGATTACATAATTCGCGCTTAATATATGTTTTAAATTTACTTTCATTGAGATCTAGTATGCTATTTGGTATTTTATTATAGCATTTAATACCTAACCCCATAAAGGATTTCTGTACTTTGGACAGTCTGAATTGCGGTATAGCTAACTTATTTTTGCCTCTAGTATTAAAATTGTGTCTATCGCTTCTTTTTTCAAACAATTGCCTATTTTTCCTTACATACATTATATTTTCATATATATATTGACAGGGCACCGTTAAAATATTTATCGTTTTAAACAATTCTCTCAACGATTCGCAACGGCGTAAGTTATATATTGCTCGGATAGCCCGCTTTTGCAGAATAAATATTGATTCTATTTCTGCAGCTCGACCCCACAACAAAATGCCGTACGACATAATGCTGTGGAAATAACTAAAATAGACAAGCCTAGCTGTATCCACGTCCGTGAGCTGTCTAATCTGTCTAACTGCAAAAGCAGCTGAGCTCAATCTCCCCGAAAGCGCCTTTATATGCGGACCCCATTGTAGCCTATTGTCTAACGTAATGCCTAAAAATACTGTCTCGTCGACAAATTCTAACTTTTGACCGTTCAAAACAATATCACAATCGTTACTACGCACGTTTGGTAAACTGAATTTAATACATTTTGTTTTTTTTTCATTAAGTGCTAGATTATTAATGGTAAACCAATTATGCACTTGAAGAATGGAGCTGTTTACGTCGTCAAGATTATTTGTACGTCGATCTACTTTAAAAATTAATGATGTATCATCTGCAAAAAGCACCATTCTTGGTTCATTTTTAAATATAAATGGCAAATCATTTATATAGACTAAAAAGAGAAAGGGACCCAATATTGAACCTTGAGGAACGCCCATATTCATCCCAGAGCCCTGTGAGTTAATACCGTTAACATGAACCTTTAACTGTCTTTCTTCTAAATAAGATTTCATAAGACGGAGCGCAGAGTTTCTTATCCCGTAATGATCTAATTTCAGCAAAAGTGTTTCGTGGTCAACGCAATCAAATGCTTTTGAGAGGTCACAAAATACACCAATAGCATCCTGTGCTTCCTCCCAAGCACCAAATATTTCCTTAATCAAAGTGACACCGGCGTCAGTTGTGCAACGACCTTTAGTGAAACCGTATTGTTGTTGGTGAAAGATGGAATGTTTATTAAAATGATGAAGCATCCGAGACAGCATCAACTTTTCAAAGAAAACAACTGCGTTGCAGACTAAGCGACCTACTGAAAAGGGGATTAAGCAGAAGAGCTGTCAGCCCGCCCGCCAAAAGCAGCAAGTCGATAGAGATGGCTTTATCACTGTTCAAAGGAAGAAAAAGAAGTCATCCCAAAACAAGTGCGGTACTGCACCGACCGGGCCGAAACATTTGCTGCGTCCAGCTGTACCAGTGACGCTGCTGTACGTGTCCAGGCTGCATTACTCTACAAAGGTCGAGGAGATTGTAGAGTATATTCAGATCAAAACGAATTACACTCTAAGGGTTTTGAAATTAGAATCCCACCACAGCGTGAATTTCAATTCATTTGTGGTGAGAGTGCCTTCCGTGGATTTACCAAAATTCATGACACCAGAGTTTTGGCCGAAAGGTGTTGTTTTCCGGCGATTCCGCGGCCGGATACCTGACACCGCGCAGCACACGACGCCGACACAGCACAATAGTCGTGATAATTAGTGTTTATATTTATTACTTACATTATGTATTTATAGTATTTTAAGTTTAAATTGTAGTAGATATTATAGTATTATTGTATTTTAATATGGGCCTTCGTTGCCTGATATAAATAAATAAATAAAAAATAAAAAAATAAATAGCCCGCTTTTGTAGAATAAATATTGATTCTATTCATATTGCAGCTCGACCTCACAACGAAATGCCGTACGACATAATGCTGTGGAAATAACTAAAATAGACAAGCCTTGCTGTATCGACGTCCGTGAGCTGTCTAATCTGTCTAACTGCAAAAGCAGCTGAGCTCAATCTCCCCGAGAGCACCTTTATATGCGGACCCCATTGTAGCCTATTGTCTAACGTAATGCCTAAAAATACCGTCTCGTCGACAAATTCTAACTTTTGACCATTCAAAACAATATTACAATCGTTACTACGCACGTTTGGTGAACTAAATTTAATACATTTGGTTTTTTTTCTCATTCAGTGCTAGATTGTTAATGGTGAACCAATTATGCACTCGAAGAATGGAGCTGTTTACGTCGTAAAGATTATTTGTACGTCGATCTATTTTAAAAATTAATGATGTATCATCTGCAAAAAGCACCATTCTTGGTTCATTTTTAAATATAAATGGCAAATCATTTATATAGACTAAAAAGAGAAAGGGACCCAATATTGAACCTTGAGGAACGCCCATATCCATCCCAGAGCCCTGCGAGTGAATACCGTTAACATGAACCTTTAACTGTCTTTCTTCTAAATAAGATTTCATAAGACGGAGCGCAGAGTTTCTTATCCCGTAGTGATCTAATTTCAGCAAAAGAGTCTCGTGGTCAACGCAATCAAATGCTTTTTAGAGGTCACAAAAGATATCAATAGCATCCTGTGCTTCCTCCTAAGCACCAAATATTTCCTTAATCAAAGTGACACCGGCGTCAGTTATGCAACGACCTTTAGTGATGCGCAATGATATAGTTGATTGTATAAAATTCCAGGCCAGTGCCCTGTCCCCGGCAAACCAGGCAGGGTCTGCTCAGGCGCTGTTCAGCTGAACAGTTCACGATCACCACAATACATATAAATGAAAGAAAGAAAAAGCATTTATTTGGTACACACAAAAACAAAGATTATAAAAAATAAAAATAGAATTACAAGAGACTTATTATAGGTCAATAAAAATATGAATAAAAATCTTAAAAGAGTAAAGAAAAGAATAATAAACAAAGTATAACAAAACACGTACAAACAATAACAGCAAATAAAAGCCAGCTTCGATAACAGGAGCATAGAAAACCCTAGAAATGTCTAACAGTACCAAATTGGTACAGAAGCCTTTGTTCTACGCGTAGAGAGAAGAGAGTAGAGCTCCGTGTGTCTGTACGTCCGTGCGAGCAGTGCCGCCTTGTTATGTTTAGCAATCTTAATACTGTTATCTGTACCTAATATCGCGAACCTGATGTTATTTTTAAAAACATAAACAACTAGAGTCATTAATATGAGTTATCGATTATATTATGTAGTGGGTCGAATTCCAATATGTTGTGCGAGAGATAAATATATCAGGTAAACCAATGAAGCGAATAGAAACTGCATTGTAACACTACGTTTTTGTTACATCACATCAACAGCCTATAAGTGGCCACTGCTGACAAAAGGCCTCTTCCCGCAGGGAGGAGGTTTGAGAATTAGTCACCACACTTGCTCAATGCGATTAACTGCGACTAACTTATAATTTAGAAATTATAAGCCCAGGTTTCCTCACGATGTTTTTCCGTCGCCGTTTGTCAGTGGTGTCTAAATAATCTTAGAAAGGACATATAACTCGAAGAAAGTCACATTGGTACTTGCCCGCAAACACGCAGCTTCATACATGAGAAGCGGGCGTCTTAAACCTCTGGGCCACCACGACATACGTTTTTGTAATAACAAATAATTAACCTTTGGAACCTGAGCTACGAGCATGAAATAAACGTGTGATACATACAACGACCAAACATTACTGACGAGGAAAGAAAGGGCCCACCACGGACCAGAAGACAGCGTCGACAACTGGTAGGCCTCGTGATAGGTGAAGCGATGACGTTGGCAGAGTTACCGTACCGGTGCAAGGTGACCGTTGGGTGCAAGTGGCGGGCTGTAGGTCGGATATGTAGTTTTTGACAAGTAATAAATGGCCAGAACTGAACAGATCATGAACACGAACGGATCAAATCAAATAACGTCACCGCTCGAAGGTCGCTGCATGCTGCCAGGTCATGGTGACTGGCAGCCGCAGCCGCAGCATTACCTGGCGCGATTCAGGCTCAAAGTGCGACCGCTCAATACATACTACGTTACACTACAGACATTGCTCGCTCCTTCACACTTGTACCGTTCTCTCAACCTATTATGGCATTTTCTGTAACCTAATTTAATTTCAACAGTAGTGATTACATTGATTGTATTCAACAGTATGAGCTGTTGGCATTTCTGATATTACCTAATTAAATAAGTTAGTTACAGGGAACTACTTTGTTTTGCAGTCTCGCATTATTATTGCTTAGTTCAAAAGGTTGGAGGAGGCCTTCGCTTACCGGCAAACAAATCTTCAGAAAATTGGTA